AAGACCTTTTTGTGCAGTCGTCGTCATAACTGTATGGTTCAAAAGCAAGCTTAGACTAAAGTAAACAGGTTAGCCCTTCTGCTGCTGCATGACTCATACAGTGTATGGATAGTAGCTGCAAGTCAAACGATTTTGACTCAACATAGCTGCCAAACAGAGGTGACCATGGAAACTCCCCCATCCAATGGGAAAGCAGGATATGGGTGTGGCTCTCTGTCTGAGCGACAGGTTTTCGTCTTTAGTCGGGTGAATGAGTTACTTTCTGTGCTCTAATTCTTCAGCAGTCAAAGACAGGAGGAACTCTGAAGAAAGATAAAACTGTCATACTTCTAACATACTCAAGTTCACTTCTTTAGTATGCAATTAAATTAACAGGAATTACATTTTCTTTGGCATTGAGTGGATTTATCTACATTAAGTATATTTTAGTGTGGGTTGTTTTCTGCTGTAAAAGTCTCACAATCATGGTTACTGTTCTATAAAGGAGGTAGTTCTTGACAGGAAACCTTGTTTAGTAAAAATAATGGAGTAGAAGAGTAGAAGAGGGAAAACAAGTGGATCATGAGATTTATATGGTTTTTAATGGTTTCCATGGAGCAAATACAAATACAGAAGTACGCAGAGGCCTGCTGGTTCGATGATGTCTCATAGAAGTCAAAGGTTGTATTTCAGAGCTGATATCACCACTGGGTGTGAGTGTGTCTCCTGGTGAGCTAATTTAACCTTATTTACACTGATTGTTGCAATGATTTAGAAACAACTGTTTCTTGAGTCCAGCTGATTGTAATTTAAACTCCGCATAAGTCTTGCGACTCCATGAACACCTGGGAGGTCTTAAGCAAGAAGTTTAAGAAGTTTAAAGCAAGATTAGGTAATAAAAAAAAAGTCTTCCAAGCTTTCAGCACCTCACAGAGCGCTGTTGATTTCATCCAAAAACTAAAAGAGTGTGACACAACTGTACAAATACCAAGACATGGCTGTCCACCTGACCTAAGGAGGTCTATCAAGGAAAGTGTTATTAGGAGGAAAAGCAAACACCCAATGTATTTAAAGGAGAGCTAAAAGCTGTGCACTCCTTGGAAGATGTACAAGAAAGGGATTGTTGAAAGAAAGCCATTCACCACATGCCATGTTGGGACACAGCAAAAGTGTGGAGTAAGAGTGCCCAAGTCCAGTACTAAAGAGTTACTATCCTGAAACTTTTGCATCACAGCTCTAACAAATGTGAATCGAATTCCCTCATGAAGATTCACTCATTCAGCTCTGCAGAGGCCTGGTAACAAGCTGTTCATTTGATTCCGGTGTGCTTGCGCAGGGATTCATCTAGACGTTGCAGGATGGTGAGGACTGGAGTTGGGTCCCACTGATGTAGAGGAAGGTGAGGTGGTTCGATCAGACTGGAACTTTAAGAATCCAGTCAGAGCAAGAATGGAATTGTTTCAAACCCATGTAAACTCATATTTATGTGGCCCAGTCAAAGTCCAACTGAGGAAAGATTTGCCGTTCATAGACATGCTACATCCAACTTGGCTGAGCTTGGGTTGATATGAAAGAGGAATGGGCAAAGACTCCAAACTCTGTATGTGTGAAGCTTTGAAGTGGATCAAGTACTTACATCATTTGATCTGCTTCACAATCATGATCTGCTTTGCCTAGACAGTTCACATAAAAGTCCCCAAGAATTAGTTCAACTTTAGTTCAGTATATTTTTATGTAATAGACATACATTCAAAGTTTAAAAAGTGAGGCCAGAGCAACACCAAATATAAGTTCATATTTGATTGGGAGAATACCAGCAATCTATGTCATCATCAACTGATACTACTAACATCAGTAAATATACTGGATATGGAATAAATAAAAAATAGAAATTAGCCAATCAATCCCAGTAATCAAATGCAACTCCTCCTCCCTTGTCCTGCACGAAAGAAAGAGTAGTTGCTGTAGGGATGAAAGAGTATTTCTACCTGTTCTTTTCATACAGAGAACAGAAGTCTGACCATGAGGAAGAAACCGGAACTCGGTGTGTAAAAGGTGAGAGCTGTCAGCAATAATGACACTAGTTTTCCTGATGATCTGACTGTTGAAGAGTTGTGCACGTGTGCATTGTTCAACTCCTAAGACCTTATTGCATACATATACAGTACCTATGATAAGTTTGTTGTTGTTGTAATGTCACAAAATAAAGGGGGGAAAATCAAGAGGAAGGTATAGTTTTCCAATGTATGGCATATACCTACAGCTTCTGTGTAGCAGCTTTTCAAGAACGCTTCTGGTCGTGTTCTCACTAAAACCAGAAAGACAGAGCACATTACGCCCGTTTTAAAGTCCTTTCACTGGTTCCTGGCTAAGTGAACATACTTAAATACTTAATACTTTTATTTTTTCATAAATCACTGAAGAGTCTAGCACCAAAATAGAATAAAGATATTGATGTCCATCCATCCATCCATTTTCTTTACACCCTTGTCCCTTAGTGGGGTCAGGAGGGTTGCTGGTGCCTATCTCCAGCTAACGTTCCGGGCGAGAGGCGGGGTTCACCCTGGACAGGTCGCCAGTCTGTCATAGAAGATATTGATGTGTTTTAAAGATATTATTGTTGTATCAACCTTCCAAACCGGAGTGGTTTGATCTGCTCTGCATCCCCAGTATGGAGAAGCAGCATTCAGCTTTTATGCACCACAAATCTGGAACAAACGTAGAGAAACCTGCAAAACAGCTGAAACACTGAGTTCCTTTAAATCAAGGTTTAAACCCTACCTCTTTAAAGTTGCTTTTGAGTAGCAGTAACCGAAATATTGATGTCACATTTGATGTGTATTTGCTTGAGGATTTTAAAAATGACATTTGTCAAAATGCAATGCTTATTTCTAGTTTCATAATTGATGACTGTATAATGTTTTTGTGATGTAAAGCACTTTGAAATGCTTTCTTGCTGATATATGCTATACAAATAAACTTGACTTGACATTTATAAATGCCACGCCCACGAGTGCCTGGAAAAACAAAAAATGGATTTTCCCATGGGGTTCTGCATAAACAGGTTGTGAATCCAATCAGTTCTGTGTTCTAGATGACTAGTCTTGTAGCCCAATGGTTTAAACCTGTAATGTGCCAAAACTGCTACAGAACAGTGTGAAGCGGAACCCTAATACAGAAAGGAGGCTGCTTATCTTCCAAATAAATCTGTTGAAAAATTAAACGCTTTACTGAATAACATAAAAAAATATAAAAACCAAAATCCAGGGAAACTTATGGGAGAACCAGAAGGCGTAGAAGATGATGATCTATCTATTATCTGGAAATGGAAATAGTAAGCCACAACTGTAAACCTACCAAAACAAGACTGTCCACCTAAACTTACAGTCTGAGAGCAATGGTCATGCAACCAACAAGCCCATGGAGATGCTGGATTGAATGCAGAAATCCACACCTAAAGTGGGGGAATCTGTCCACAGGACAACTATTAGTCCTGTATTGTACAAATGCAGTCTTTATGGAAGAGTGGCAAGAGGAAAGCCTTTGTTAAAAGAAAAGCTTAAGAATTAACATTTGTAGTTTGCCAGAAGCCATGTTAGACGCAGCAAACGTGAAAAAAGCACTTTGGTCAGACGAGACCAAAATTGAACTTTTTGAACGAAATGCTTGGCGGAGAACTAATACTGTACGTCACTCTGACCACACCATCCTCACTGTCAAATATGGTGGTGGCAGCATCATGCTCTGAGACACGGAAGAAGGTCAGAGTTGATGGGAAGATGGACGGAGCCAAATACAGGAGCCAAATACAAGATGGACGGAGCCAAATATAAGGTTCTTGTTGTTCCAACAAGAACCTTGTTCCAACAGGTTCTTGTTCGAACAAGAACCTGTTGGAGTCTGAAAAAACTTGAAACTGAGATGGAGGTTCACCTTCCAGCAGGACAACAACCCTAAACATAAAGCCAGGGCTACAATAGAATGGCTTAAAACAAAACATGTTCATGTATTACAATGGCCAAGTCCAAGTCCAGACCTAAACTCAATCAAGAATCTGTGGTCAGATCTGAAAACTGCTGTTCACAAACACTCTCCATCTAATTTGACTGAGCTTGGGCTGTTTAGCAAAAAAGAATAGTACAAAATTTCAGTCACTAAATGTGCAAAGCTGGTAGAGACATACCCTAAAAGATTTGCAGCTGTAATTTCACCTAAAGGTAGTCTCACAAAACCTTGACTTAGGGAGGTGGAATATTTTTGCACACCACACTTTTATTTTTTATTTGTAAAAAAATGTTTTGAATCATGTATAGATTTCTTTCTTCTTCACAATTTTATACCACTTTGTGTTTGGCCTTTCACATTAAATTCCAGTTAAATATATTTATGTTTGTGGTTGTAATGTGACAAGATATGGAATAAAGGGTATGAATACTTTTGTAAGCCACAGCGTTACGTAGCACACGTAATGCTATTTTCAGGAGCATTGTAAGATGTTGGTAACCTCTCCTCTGCTCAAAGACTAAGCTTAACTTATAAATTGTGCTTTTGTGCTTGTTTTTAACATTACAATAAAGGCTGCACTCTGCATTGAAACAGGTTATTGTAAATAATAGGGAAGGTTATGTTTAGTAAGACTTGGACAATTAGGTTACTTAAAATTTATCTTTAAAAATATTTGTAATATTTATGTTTTGTAATTTACAGTCCAAATTCTACTCAATTCCAAGAAAATAGACACCCCTATCTTAGGGAAAACTAAATTGTTATTGTATTCATCCGCGGCGCAGTACGTCATGCACGGAAGGCGTAGGGCGAAGAACGCCTGGCGGAGTGATTTAGTAAGGGCTACACCCAAGTCTGTGTCTGGTCGCAGCGGCTGCTCTTCGTTGCCTAGACGAGAAGAAAGCCGGGACGTGACAGAGCCGGGGGTTTAGGTTGCTGGATGCCCGTTAACCATCAAAAAAATACTGCTTCTTCGTTGGAGAGACGACCGTGATTTATTTTCACTTACCGTGCTTTATTCCCCATCCTAGAACTAATATCAATAACATGTCCTGGCAAAGCTACGTGGACAACCTGATGGCTGATGGCAGCTGCCAGGACGCGGCCATTGCGGGCTATACAGACGCCAAATACGTCTGGGCATCGTTTGCTGGCGGAGCCTTTGGCAAAATTACGGTTAGTGTGCTCTCTGTGTCCTGTATGTAGATTAGAAAGCTGTAAAATACGCAGTTGATTTAAAAAAAACAAAAAACGTTTATCTGCATAGCCTGGCCTTGTTGAATGAGTGCGGTACACATGGTATGCAGTGGTCCACCACGAGATGTACACGAACTAGCGTGCATACTTGCTTTTTAATCTTTCGTCACTATTCAGGTATTCGTTTTATGTTTTAACCCGAAAGGCGTTTCAATTTCCCGAGCTGTCCTTGTACATGCCCACTACGGTTATCGGAGATGACCCAAGTGTTCGGAAAACTGTAGCTAACGGGGTTAGCCATGTTTGCTTCTCATGCCGGTCATTTGTTTTGAACATTAAGTTGTCGGTGTGTGTGTTAAATGTTACCCATAAATAATTTAAAATCTTAATACTAGCTTAGCTAAAATTTATTGTACAATTAAACCCCTGTTGCTGAGAATTCAACCTGAGGAAAGCTGTATGTCGGTATCGCTAATCAAGCTAACGGCTTAGCTCAAATGGGGGTGGTCATCCTCAATGGAAAACCGTTGGAAGCTAATGCTACGAGCTAGCAACCGTTGGTCTTTTTTTTCCTGTTCGGCTTCTGTGAATCTCACTACCGCCCCTTTTCTCCAAAATGGCGGATACACATTCAGTTTCTTGTCCGTTTATTTTCTGTTAGAAAATGTCTTGACATTTATGTTGGATCTTGGTGTCTTGACACCAGAATCTTTGTTGAACTGATGTCAGTTTTAAATATGTTTTTCTTTTTTTCCATTATCATTCGATTGCAGCTGTGGGTTTAAAATCCTTGTCGGTTGTCCTTCGCGTTTTTCTCGAGCCACCATTTTGTATAAAAATGTAATTATAATATTACGGGATTTCATGATGTTGTATAGGGATTATAACGATATTGTTAACGCTTTGATGTGCCTTGTGTAACGCTATAAAATGCTGAGCCATGCTACAATACATGAACGTGTTTTCCGCCTTTAGCTAAAGCTACTGGGAGTGTCCACCCCTTCGATCTAAAATGCAATTTTCTCGTCTCTGTAGATCATAATCAGAAAAATATATTAATGTTTGACACTATGGAAACCTGACATACCACGGTTTGAGCTTAGCTTTTTTTTCTGTACTCGTAAAGATGGATCTTTCGAACATTATGGTGGAGCAGGGGTGCCCACACTTTTTGAGACCAAGATCTACTTTTTCTATCACCAGCGGCTGAGATCTACCTCATGACACAAAGAACCTGAGGCCAGCAGATGGCAGTCAGTTATGGTAGATCTGAACTTTGGTTTGATTACCTCAATATGAGAAATTTCAGACTGATAGGAGGAACCACGGAGCTCTGTTAGGTTTAAGCCACATCTTGTGAAGTTGGGATATTTTTCCTCCAACAGGTTCCAGAGGAATCACCTCAAACCAAATGTTGGACTGGAATTTATTTCAATGTCATTTGTGAATGTTGGCTTCTCATTTTCAACAGTGGAGCTATAAAGATTGAAAAAGGTTATTATTTTGGAGAAAGTTTTATTAACATCAATATTTCTACAAAATAAGTGGCATGTTTGATGGAGGAAAAGCCTCTCAGACTCAAAGCAAGATGCCAGTGAGCACCAAACTTA